CATTCACAGAAAAGTGTTGATGCAATTTTAAATTGATTATTCACATTCATTGATTACCCCAATGATTATGAGATTGGTTGATGTATATAAAGATTCACTTTGATCTCAAAAAGAAGGATGAAGAGCTTCATGGTGATGAAACTTCATATCTTAGTGCAATCAGGCCACTAATGCATTATGCTAACAATACTCTATCAGATATTTATTTTGCAGTAAATTTACTGGCAAGATTCATTTCCTCCCCAACATAGGAATATAGAAATAGGTCTAAACACATACTTGAATACATTAGAATGACTATAGACATGGGTTTATTCTATTTCGAAGAATTCAAGTCAAAGCTGACTGGTTACGTTGATGCAGAATATTTATCTGATTCACGTAAAGCTCGATCTCGAACACACTAATTGTTTACATGTGGGGCACAATGATATCTTGGCGATCAATGAAGCAAATGTTGGTTGAGATCAACGACACATCATATTCAGAAAAATGTGTGATTTTTCTTTGAAAAAGAACTATCAACCACACTGTACGAAGATAATCATTTACAAATGAATGTGTCCACAAGATGATTGTTGTTGTGAACAAGTTGAATAAGCAATTTGCTTGTAATTACGAAGTCATGACGAATAGAATGTATTGAAGATGTATTCAGCTAAGTTCAAAGCCTCGTCATATCCATGAAAATTATATAATTATATATACGAGTGGGTTCAACCATGCAACATCTTCGAGAATGTGATTTGATCACAAAAACACTATCAACATTTGAGAAGTTGATATTGGATCACATCATCACAAGAAATTAAAGTAATGTGTTGATCAAGGGGAGTACGATACGCGTTGAATTTTTTTTCTTTGACCAAGGTTTAGTCCAACTGAATTTTCCTGGCAAGGTTTTTAATGAGACAACAAATAGTGCAATCAAAAGATATGTGTACTCTTTTTCCTTCACTAGAATTTTTTCCCACATGTTTATTCCTAGTAAGGTTTTAACGAGACATATAACCTATGGACATCCAAGGGGGAGTGTTATAAATTCATTAAACTAAGTGGATGATCCATTTATTCATGAACTTATCCTTTTCCAGGATGATTATGTATTCCCAAGATTTATCCTTATCTTGGATATGTATATTTCCAAGGTAACATGAATCTTTATGGGATCATGATGTATCTATTAATTTGGCATTCATCAAAGTGACTTTTGAGATGATTTGTCTACTTGTAAATAGAGATATTCAATGTATGATACACTAGAATAGGAAGAAAATCCTCTTTTTCTATCGACTTCTCTTGCCTTTTTCTCTTTATGATTATATTCTTACGATCTTGATTTTATAACAAATATCACTTATATATTATTTTTCAAATATTTTTTTTTAATTTTCACGTGTTATTTTTAATATATTAAAAAAAGATAATAATATGTTTCCATTATTTTTCCTCACTATCAAATACTTATTTTTAGATCATTTTTCAAAACATCATTTGATATTGGAAGTTTGATAAAATATTTATATCATTAATTATTTTTTTAATAGGTGTGTGAGGTCAAATTGAATCAAGTAAAAGTGAATGTAAAGAATAATTAATTATCTATATTTTCAAGAGTTTTTTATATTATAATTTCTATTATTTTCTTTTTGTCCCCCGGATATATCTAACTCTTTGTATATAAATATGGAATATAACTGCAACGAGAATTAGGAGCACATCACGGTTTCTCAAAAACATTTAGAAACATGAATGTTTTCTTTCCCCCATTTTTCTAACATCGTAAATCTTTTTTTAATATATATATATATATATATATATATATATATATATATATATATATATAATTTTTAGGAAAAATTACGAGGTGAAGTAAACTGATATTATTTAATTACTGATCATAGTTCTCACTTTTTATAATTATCTCTCGCGACTAACACTAACTATTAATTACATTGGCCGATTCAAATTGTATAATTAGTCACATTTGTATAAGTCGCTACATTTGTATAATTCGCAACTAACAATTGTTCTTTTGATTTATATTTGTATACACTGGTTTATATTTGTATATGACGGTATTGATTTCCTTTATTTTTTCAGTTTTTTTCACCATATACATTCAATCTTTTTGTGTATAACCTTTTAAAGTTTGTATTAACGTGTAGTTTTTGGATTTTGTATAATGTAATTTGTGTAATATATGTTGTATAGTTGTTTTAAGTTCATATGTTTATGTTTGTGTTAATTTTTATTTCAAGTTTTATCATATTTGTAAAAATTCAAACTTTAGATTACTCAATTATACAAAAACAAGAGAATTATACAAACGTAGCCGCGAATTATAGAAATGAGATGTGAATTATACAAATTATTGCCTTCTCTCGCTCGTCTCTCTCTCTTCCCTCTCCCAATCTCGCTTTTCATATATACAAATGCATATGTATAATATACAATTGTCTAACCGATATAAATATACAATTCACTTCTCTTCCACTCTCTGCCCCCTCTAGCTCACCTCTCTCATCTCTTTCCCAATCTCACTCACCTCTCTCCTCTCTCTTCCAATCTCTCTCAACTCTCTCCCCCCTCTCACAGTCTTGCTTGCCATAAATACAAATACATATGTATAATATACAATTATCTAACCGACATACAAGCACAATTCATCTCTTTCCTACTCTCTTCCTCTCTCAATCTCCTCTGTCCTCCCTATAACATATAGCTACAAATTGCAATTATCAAACTATAATTATGGAGGGTAATTAGACAACTTTTAAGTGGTTATATGTGAAAGTTCCTTCCATTTTGATTTTATATATACACTTTATAAGATACATAAACTTTTAATTATATATTTATAATTTTTATCAAATACATATTTTAAGTATCATCTCTTCCTCTCCCCTTTCGAGACTGTCATTACCGACAAAAACTCCTTCTAACGAGCAATAATTATAAGTGAAGTTATTTCTCATCTACCAAATATTGTTGATATTAAAGTTTTCCCTTTCTAAATCTAGGACTACTTGAAGTGTGAACAGAAGAGGAAAAAAGTAATAAAAAAATTTAATTTTTTTTATTATTATATTGTAATTTAAAAATTAATTTTTATGCCTATATTGTAATTTTGTTTTGGTATTTATAAAAAAATGGTCCATCTACAGACTACAATATATTTTAGAAGAAAATCAATAAAAAAAATAATTTAATCATCAAAATAATAAATCTGAATTTGTTGTTGAACAAAAAAAAGTCAAAAAAATAATAACATGTGTGAAAAGGATCAAATATACACCTACATGAATTCTTTTACTAATAAGAAATTTGTAAAATAAAAAGTTGTCGCAGGTATGTTAGGTCTCTTTTATCGCTATGAGGTAGTAGTCTACATACACTTTATTTCTCCCTAAACCCCACTAATTAAGTATGTTGTTGTTGAAAATTTCAAATAAATACTAAATCAATCTATTATTATGTCAGTAAAATATTTTATATTTTGATAGATGTTGGTAATAATTAATGATGATGATTGTTTGTGTCGATTTAGGTTGGTATTAGCCGATGGTGATGGTTGTGGCTAGTTTTTATTGTATAGTGTTTGGCAGTAGTGTTAACCTCGGTTGTTAATGGTGACAACTGATAATTATGGTTATAGTGATAATGATATTTAATGAATGTGATGAATGAAGTTGACAATTAGTGATATATAATGCCGACTAATCGTATACTTATCAATAGTGATTATGGATATAATAGTGACTGGTTGTTACTGATGACGATGATTGATTTTTGTGATTGGTGGTAAGGAGGATTGTTGTTGATGGTGGCCAGTTGTGGCTAGATTGGTGGTTGTAAGTGGCTAAGTTTATATTAATTTTCTTGTTTGTTGCTTTTTACTTATAGAATATTAGTCGCTATAGATTATTCCCTCATAATTTTGGTATAAATATGAAACCACATTTCACCAATTCATTCACAAAATGAAATATACCTTTTACTTCTACTGGTTTTGTTCCCCTTAAGGTGGTCATAGCCAATGAGTTATCTCATCCCTTTCAACTCCCAATCTTTGGCCTTGAAGAATCAACCAGCAACCAAGTACAATGTGGAAACACAACATTATATTGTGCTCCTGTACAATGTCAAAATCAATTTGGTGCGCACGAACAGCTAATGGTAGATCATATTCTACCGGAGAGTGTTGTGGTTTAGATGGTTGGTGTCGGACCACACCAAAATATTGTGCTCCTAGAAACTCATAAACCCAATGTTAAACACCATCTTCATTATTGGTGGGTCTATACATATTTTTAATTCTTGTTTCTATGGTTTTGCTAAATCTCCCATGTTTTCTAGTTAAAGTTGGATTAAATTTTGTTTATAGCATTGTGCTACTGTGTGTTAATTTCATCTTCAATGTTGTATTTTATCTTTGTTTTATCTGAAATCGGAAAAATATTTATTTTTCTTTTGTAAGTTTTCGACTTTAGAGAGTCGCCACTTAATTTTTAAGAGAAATTATGAAAACTATTATTTTCAAAAAACTTAACAGAGAAAATCATTTTGAAAACATTTACAGGGGTTCGGGGATTCATATTATATTTTACGAAGATGTTTAAAGCACCTAAAATACCCGTTAAATACTGTTTTCCAGCAACTAACAAAGTTTGCTAAAAACTAGATTTGACTTGAAAAATATTTGGAATAGTAAAGAGTTAAATTACTAACTTATTATCTAAGTGAATTATTAGCAAAATTTATTGGTTTTAAGTTGATAAAACATTTAAGATATTTGCGGGGAATAGGAGTTTTTTTAACTTCAAACTAACAACAAATAAAACTGATAAACGCATAAAGTAAAAGAAGGAAAAAGGGAGGAGAGAGAGAGAGAGAGAGAGAGATTTGAGTCCAAATCCGGGTTCTGTTCGCCTTGACCGGAATTTTGGACCCACCTATTTCGGGATTTTGACCCATTCGACTTTCTTTCGTACCTGTCCTAGTCTAAACAAATAATACTATAAAACGATAAGTCCTTAGGCCTGTTACATAATGAAAAATAGATAACATGAAAAATAAAAGGGGTGGGGGCTTCTAATCCAACTTCTTCGACTTTCTTCAATTCTTTAAACTTCTGGACCTGTACACCATTCTCCTATTGATAATAAGGCTAACTTGATGCGGCTCAAGGATATGCGAGAGTGGAGTCCTTGCAAGTCGTTCAAAGGCGTTTATGCAAGAAAAATAAAACAATAAAGTTTAGAATGACTAATCAATGAACCCGATAAAGTAACCGAATACCCTTTAAACACAAAAGGTGAAAATAGATTTAGAGAAAGTTGTGGAGATAATATTGTAAGATGTCACATGATGGTGATACATAAACAAGGAGACAAACAAACTACCGCTCATATTTGTAAAAATAAAATTATTGCCGGAAGACAAACTTTAGCATACTTCAAAGAGTAAACTATATGAGAATGCATTTTTATTAAATGTACCCAAATGCCTCTTAACAAAAAAAACTTCTTGACACAAAAACATGCAAAGGACACATATGTTTAAAGGAGAGAATCACCATAAACACAAAACTAATTAGATCAAGCCATTCCACAACTTCAGACAAATAAAGACTAACTATTATATCAATTATTTAAAGTCAAAGTTCTGTTAACTTAAGTCAAGAATGGGATATTAAAGAATTATTTAGCATGATACGGGAACGAGAGAGAACGTCAACTTAAACTGATATTTTATCCTATTAATATCATAAATAGTGAATGTCTCTAGTTAAGAAAGATAATAAACAAAGAAAAGAGAAGGAACAAAGCTTAGATTAGCCATTTATTAATCTAATTCATACTTGGAACTTCAATAATCTAGACGAAACTTCAAATACAAAGTTGGGTACATGATGACAACGGTATAGTAAGGGACACAATGAAGACATTCGACACATGATGCAACAGTCAATCCAAACTAGAGGTGGTTCATTCCCTAAAACACTATAAAATATTATTAATCCTCATTATGGACAAATATCATGTTAAACCCATTTTCCAATAGTGCAGAAAAGGACAAATTCAAATAGCTAAATTAATAACATACTTTTATAAACTATAATCCTAAAAGAGAGAAGCGAAATTGGTCGAAGCTTATACATCAAGCTAATTTAAATCAAGATTCCCTATAGTCTAACAATAAACAAACAGGAAAACTATTTTTAATCTTAAGAAAAAAAACATAAACAGACTCGATCAAACTAAACCCAGAAATATCCAATACGGAAAGCAAGATCACATATTCAAAGCAAATATGTGCCAAACCATACCCCAAGAATGCCATGATGATCTCTTGGATACCCTTAAGATATATAATATCTAATGAAAGTTACTCAAAAATGAATATTAAATAGTAATGTGAAGACTAACGAATAAGTAATAAGATCTTTCTTGGCAAGTATGACAACCAAGAATTTAAGAAGGATACAAACAGCCATACAAACCCAAATGAACGTTAAAAATCCATGAAAATAAACAAAGAAAGAGGAACTCACATGGATTTTTAGACAGATTCCATCACTCATTAACAACTAACAGTGAGTCAAAGATATTCCGAATGCAAACATATGAAATATTCACATAGATAAGGTTCAAATGAATACGCACTCAGACTAACAGGTATTCAAAATGAAATGAGTAATACCTTTCGAGGTGAAGCAAAACAGGGACGAAAACGATCATGAAAGAGCACTGACTTCCGCACTCGAAGAACGACATCGAAGACTTTGGAGGAACAGAACAAATTTAAAGGAGAGCCATGGAGGAATCAAATGTCCTAAAAAACGAAAATCGTTTTACGCGTATTTCTTCTATGTTTTTCTTTTGACTTTCCTCACTAATGATTTGTGTTGAAATTTGGGAAATAGGGAGTAGGCTGGACGTTATAGGGGATTAGGTTAAAGAAAATGGAATTTGGGTTAGGCAGGTATATTAACGGGCTGGGAATATTGATGGTGTGAGCTGCAGAGAATAATAAAAGGGCCGAATTGATTTTGTCCAAATGAATTAAAGTATTAAGGAAATTAGACAAAAGAGATTAATATCAATTATCTAAACAAAATTCTTAATTTTAGCGAAATAAAATAATTGACGTAATCATAAAAATTAAAAAAAATAAACTATTACGTAACTAATTAGTAAAATATTTTAAATTTTTTTGAGACGATTTCCACATATTCGGAAAAAAGTGAGTTTGTATGTATATGTATACATGTAAATATTTGAATTTTTGTGAAATATTGGTTTTTTTAAATCACTTGGAATTTAAGAAGCTCGTGAATTAATTGCTATCGGGGGAGGGTCAAAATTAGGTGTCAACAATTGTCCCTCATTTTACTTGGATTGATGCAAGAAATTTGAGAAAAATTAAAATTGACCTAACCAATTTTGTCCAACCACACATTCATTTTTTAAGAAAAGGACTCGGCAAGTACTTTAGAAATTATGGCCGAACCCCAAAAATGGAATTCCTACATATCTTAGGCTATATGAGAATTCAGGCCATTTGTAGTTCGATATGCTTGATTTAACGCACGATTTTTAAGTAAATCAACAGCCAAATCGATATCGAATTATGAATGGACCGAAATGCTCGGGAATAGGATTTAAGAGAGAATATTGTAATACAGCCGAGTTATCAACGTTGAGCCTTCCTACATGTCCTTAAACTAGGAATCAACATGATGTAGTTCGACTCGATCGTAGAAAAGAAAATGTATTATGCTAGATAACCTTTGGCTTCGGACAAGTGACAAATCAAAAGAGTATGAAAAGGAGGCTTGTAACCTCTTAGCCATGAATGTGGTGCACTTCACACCCATAATTAAGAACTTACACGGACATAATTTCCAAAACCCTTGACACATTGTTACTTAGATTGGAATGCTGCTCCCGGTGTATAGAAATTTCGGATTTAAAATCGAAACTGACAAAATCCAAAAGAAAAACCCGCATGCCTTCTGATAAGGGTGTGGTTTGATTTTGGTGGTAGTCACTCCTCTGCTCGCGTCCAAAGAGTTTGGCACTCCTCTTTGGACTACGTCCCACTTTGCTTCTAAGAAAATTTCCATGTTGTGCTGCGTCCCTTTGACGTCGTCCGCACCTGTGGTTTTGGAGAATTCATCCTTTTGGATTCTCTCGACAAAGACTGAGATAAGAAATCATCAGGTTAAAAATGCAATTAAGATAGAAGACAATATCTTTTACCATGTCGACACTTAATTTTTCTCCTCGACCTTCGACGTCAACTCGATTGGTTTGACGTAAAGTAAATAAAGCTTATGTACTGTATTTGCATTGTAATCTTCAATGCACTCTTCATTTAGTGTCAAAACAAATAAAACTGATGCAATGCTGATATTTTCTTCATTACTTTCGATGATTCTCTTGGCATTCGCTCTTGCAAAATAAAGATACAGTTGATGTTGAGGGGTAAATATTTCCCTTGAGATGCATGATTCCTCCTCTGGCAGTGCATGATTTCTAGCAGGGCATTAATATCTTCCCGCGATGCGTGATTTCTTGTGGTTTATGAATATCTTTCCGCGAGGCATGAATATCTTCTCACGATGAATAATTTCTGTGAGGTATGAAATCTTCTCACGATGCATAACTTTCTAGGAGGCATGAAATATTCTCGCGATTCATAAATTTCTGCGAGGCATAAATATCTTCTCGTAATGCATGAATATTGAATCGCGATGCATGATCTTCTGTGATGCACGAATATTGACTCACGATGCATAATTTATTCCGCGATACACAAATATTCACTCGCGATGCATGATCTTCCGCGATGCATGAATATTGACTCGCGATGCATGATCTTCCGCGATGCATGAATATTGACTCCCTCTGCATGATCTTCCGCGATGCATGAATATGGACTCGCGATGCATGATCTTCTGCGATTTATGAATATTGACGCGCAATGCATGATGTTTCGCGATGCATGGATATTGAATCGCTATGCATGATCTTTCGCGATGCATGAATATTGACTCGCAATGCATGATCTTCCGCGATGCATGGATATAGACTCACGATGCATGATCTTCTACAATGCATGAATATTGAGTCGCGATGCATGAATATTGACTCTTGATGTCATCCTTGGAACTAAATGATAATAGTGCTTCAATCGAGCAACATAGTGATCATCTGGGTGCTTTCTGAATAATCATATTGTCTCCAATGATGATAACGGTAAAATGACTTCCAAATAGTATATTGTCTTGATCGACAAAAAAATAACTGACCCCTCCGGGTAATACATAATATCATATCTGACATTTTGATGCAAATGACGTCCTTTACGAAAACCGTAAACTCTTCCTTAAGATTTTCGCTTGATTACTTCAAATCTTGGTGGATCTTCTTTATAAATTTCATGTTGTTGAAAATTGATTGAAATAAGCAGATCATATTTCCAAGTCTCTGACATAAGCAATATAAAATGATTCCTGCTTCTAGGAAAACAATTGATTTTGGGATAGTCTTCTCCTCCTTTGATTTCTCCATATTCATCCTTCGAAAGAATTTGCTGATTTCAGAGCAAAGCTATAAACCTGCGTCCATAGAAAAATTGTTTAGTTTTAAAGACGAATTAATCTGTGTCGATTTCTTCAGTTGTCTGTTCCTTGTCCTACCATCTCTGATTGATTTCCCAATCTCCCGATTCATGATAGATAAGACAATATTTTATGCCAAAAAAAGGAAAAATTTACGAGAAATAAATTTTGAAAAATAGTATCTGAAAAAGATCACTGTCAAGTCATGTTACATCAGGCTTAATAAACTTCTTTGAGTCTGATGCTTGAAGGTCTGTCTCATTATTCACTGAGAATCATTCAGAGTCACTCCAGACTTGTAGATAAACCGATGCTGAAATTTTGTGGCCATCCTCAAAATTTCTGTCCCAGTTAACTGTCTTGCTTATCTTTCCACTGTACTGAGTAGATTGCGAAATTTTTGAGATCTTCTCAAAAATTCTGTCCTAGTTGCAAATCTCGAAAAATCTTCAGTCTTGACTTGCTGAGGATGAATATTCTTCTTGAGAATTTTTTAATCTCTCAAAAATTCTATCCCAGTTTCTATTGTGAAGAGAAATAGAAATCTTATTGGAGATATGACCGAACCCTTGTGGCGCCCCATTGAGGCAGGAATCAATTCGAACATAGTCCCCCCTCAAAGATTAACAAAATAAAAAAATTTATAAAGAAAACTGACCGAGGCCGAGGCCGACACAGGACACCTACATATCTCATTCCTGAGAATTAGGCCGAACGTAGTTCAAATACAAAGAAATAATTAAAGGGCATAAATAGGGTGACCAAGTCCAAAATAGACCGCCTACGTATCTCATTGTTTAGAATTCAAGTCAGACGTAGTTCATTACAAGAGGGGTAAAAATTTAAGCAAAACAAATACAAGCAAAGAGAATATTACAAGTAAACAACAGAAATGCAAATCAAAGCTTCACACGTAGTATCTCTTGACAGCATCTGAGTTGATTGGTTTCTGCCATGCCGTGTCATCCATGTTGTAACGACCTGTTTAGTCGGTTCGAGTAGTAGAACTTTTTTTAATAAAAATTGACTGGGTCGACGGATCACACGACGGACTGTGATGGACTCCGTCGTCCCATACTTGTGTAAATTCTTCTGCTGCTCTCCTCATTACCATCGACGACAGGTAGGACGAGCCATCATAGGCACGACGGTCCGTCAAGGGTCTTCGCTCCAAAACAATTCAACTCTGAAATCTGGGTACTGGGATCGACTCTCTGAACTTTGTGACGGACCGTCGTAGATACGACGGACCGTCACAAGCTTCACTACTGAATTTAACTCTCTGAACTTTGTGACGGACCTGCAGGACGGACCGTCGTAGACACAACGGACTGTCACAAGCTGCGTAACCCCGACTGGGTCGGATTTCTGCTAAAAGTTTTAAGGGACTTTTTGGACTATTCATGATTATAATAATGGAATTAGTGGAGTAAGTTTAATAATTTATTTACTTGGGGGTTAAAGAAGTTAATAAGGGAATAAATAGTGGGTTACTTTTATCATCTTTTATAATTGATTATATGATAATTAGGGTAAAAGAAAAACAATCTGGAGAAGAAAAATAAAAAGAACAGAGAGGGAGAACGAGCGACAAAGAGAGAACGAAGAGGAAAGCAAAGGCATTGGGAAGGTAGCTTGCTTGATCACGATTCTTCGGTGGAGGTAGGTTATGGTTTATTTCTATGTGATAGATAAACTCTAAATAGCGATTGATATGTATTGGGTGGTATTGTAAAGTCTTCTATATGCTTGATGGTGTGTTTGTATGTTGTGATGGTGTAATTGTGGTGATCAGAATGATGAGACTGTTGAATCTTCAATCTTAAATCCTCTCTATTAAGATGGCGCCTTGACATAAATAAGGCTTGATGGACTAAAATAATGAGATAAATGGATCGGGGTGTCACGTTTCGACACGGTAGTATTAGGGGATCGGGTGTCACGTTCCGACACGGTAGTATTAGGGGATCGAGTGTCACATTCCGAAATGGTAGTATTAGGGGATCCGGTGTCACGTTCTGACACGGTAGTATTAAAGGATCAGAGTGTCACGTTCCGACACGGTAGTATTAGGGGATCGGAGTGTCACGTTCCGACACGATAAGGATAAAGAGAATGAACCTTGAATTAAGTTAATGTACTCAAATTTAAAGAACTTATTTCCCAAATGAGTATGGTGTGGAGGATTTAGTCCTCATATGTGTGCTTGGTGTTGTTGTCAAGGGTTCTTATACTTGTTGATTTTCACCTGTTGAGTATTATGGTTGATTTTATATTATTTATTCAGTATATATTGCTTTCTATTTCGAGTT